AAGCCTCCACCATGGCCTGTGCTGGCCAGGATTTCTGGGAGTTGCAGTCCAAGAACATCTGGGGACCCCAGGTTGGGAACCACTTCCAGGACCAGCCAGACTTCCCAGACCTTTTGGTGGCTCAAAACCAGTAACTGGTTAGGAAGCCTGTGTGCGTCTTTACTTTTCCTATTTCCAGAAAGGACAGGGAGGTGGTGGTGGTTTTTATTAGGGGAAGGGGTTAAAGATGGAGTTGGTCACTCTCTTCTTTCTGCAATTAACACAGGAGCCAGCAAAAGTTTTGGGACGATTTCTTTGGACTTCTTCTTCCAACATCATCTCTCAGATGAAGCCAAAGGAAATACTAAATTAAAACTACACATACTGTCATGTGAATGTAGAGTCATATGAACGGAATATGGCCGACTTCTCAGTCATTCAGATCATATGTCCTTGAGTGACTCCCTGGAGGGTTAAGAATTCCAAGAAGCAAACATCCTGGGATCAAATAAAGCCGTACAAAGGTAGTGCTGTTTGCCTGGCCCTGGGTTTTTTTCCCCTTTGGCCATTTCTTGCAATAAAAGTGGGCCTGCAAGATCCAATCAAGGTTTATCAAACTTTACATTCTTTTTCCTTTGTTCCTTCCAGGGATCTTTCCCCCGAAACGACAAAATAAATTCTTTGCACAAGCTGCATCATGGGCAGCGTGATGATTTCCATGAGTCCTTGTAACTGGGTGAATTGTCCCTGATGGCTAGAAAAGCTCCTCTCTCTAGAGCCTCTGGCTCTGATCTTAACAGATGACAAGCTGCTATCAGTCTGACAGAGCCAGGACAGAGGTCAACGGAATTTGCCACATTAACAAGGGTGCAGCATGGCTATGCCCCCAAAACATTCTCCAAAAATCCCACGGCATTCAGGATTGGAGACCACTTGTATCGTTCAGGAAAAGAAACCCATAGTGCGTGTTGGAAAGGGATTCCAAGGTGAGCGTGTGCGATAGTGAAGTGTATCCGTCCATTTATCTGGATGATCTACAGAGTCACAAACTACGCAAGCATTTGAGTTCTTCAAAAGGGATGGTTAAAAAAAGAAAAGAAATGGAACTGGGGGAAAAGCATGCACCTTAATTTATTGTACTGTATTTTTCGATATCACCATGATGAAAACAAAAAAGAGGGCACATGCAGGGCCTCATTTCTGCAAAGGGGGTAGCAGACATTGGAGGGAGTAACCAAGACAAGACGAAGGGTCGTCACAGTACAACAGGGTTTTGGATATTTCCCATTAATTGAGAAATTGCATATTGCCTCTCTGGCATTAAAGGACAGGGAGGCTGGCTTGGTACACCCGGGAGTTCGTGGCCAGAGAGAAGCACACCAATATTTGAGCCTTTGCACCTCCATTTCAGTGGAAGGTAGAAACTGGCAGCTGGGACAGAAGTCTTACCCCCCCACCTCCCATGCCAAGTTGAACTGCTGCTGGTCTTTGCTCACTTGTGATGTGATGAAATGCAGTAATTGTACAAGACACGCAGAGCGAGCATCGTATCTTTGTGCATCAGCCACGAAATGCTGCCACAGAGCGATGATCAAATATTGCAGGTGACCACGTATTGAATTAAAAATTAGCAAACATTTGTGACTTATTCCGGAAATATCTGACATGGTTACTTTGAACAGAGAAACAAACTTGTTTCTGTTCTGTCTTGCTTCCAAACCTAAGTCAGAAATAGATGACCATTTTCCCCCCTGACTACCCTCATTCTCTGGTGCCACTGATAACCAACCTGACAAACACAAATTAAGCAGGTAAAATAAAATACTGGGGGGAAGCTTCCCTTGCTTGATTTCAGGACTAGTATATATATATATTTTTTGGCACTGAGCTGCCATCAGTTGGCGTAAAGCGCTCTCTAGTGTTCTGCAGCTGCCATGCAGTCAAAAGCCTGAGCTAACGAGCTTCTTGAACACCCCACTCAGCACTACGTTAATGGTGCCACAGAGTTCCTACCATGGAGTCTACTTATTGTAGCAGCCTGAGACCTCTTTAATTGCCACGGTGCCACCCTAGGGGATCCTGGAGCACTTGGTTTGGTGATGGATTGGCTTTCTCTCCCAGAGACCTGTGAAGCCCTGGTCTGAACAGACCCAGAGCATTCTAATCATCCTACCAAGCTAAGATGGAGCCATGATGGTTAAAGTTGTATTGAAGTGTAAGAGAAGTAAAAGGACAATGCTGTAGCTGGGAGGGCTACCCGTGGAAGCCAACGTGATTCTGTGATTAAACAATACCTGGGTCAATGGGGCTAGTCCATGGTGAGAATTTTCCTCTCTTTCCCGAATTCAGAGCTGCTGGCCAAACAATGGCTATGGCAGCAGCTGCCACCATAAGCTGCTGCTGCTGCTGCTGCTTGATGTGGTTTTCCGCCTTCATTCCTCCCATATCCACTCGTAGTACAAGCCGCTAAGGTTGTTTAGGTACACATCTGTAGCTCTGAAATAGATGGACAAAATGACAATCGCTTACTTCAGAGTAAACACAGTTCCGTGCAGGGTTCAAGCATGTCAAAGGAGGAGGGGAAGGTGTCTAGGAAGGGTGATCTCCCCGTTCCCTCCAGCCACATGGATCCACTCCAAAGGTGTTTCAGAATACACACATAAAATGCATACAAAGCCCCAAATCATGAACAACTAATAATGTTGCCAATGTTGTAAAATTAGCTTTGTTTTATAATTGATTCCAAAGCAACCTCTTTTTTTAACGGAGAGCAAGATGTGGTGAGGGTGGGGCTGTAATCTAGATGGCTTTAAAAAGGAGTTACAGATGCATCAAAGCAGAACCTCCATGAACAGGCAGTGTATCTCTGAAAAATAGAAATAACCAGGTGAGTAAGGCCAGGACTTCCTCGCCCTGGAAGTGAATATCCCAGAGTTGTTAGAAGGTATATGAGAGATTAGTTAGAGGTTTGGTCTGATACAACATGACAGGGGTAATTACTGGATAATTAAGAAGGTCCCTCTTCAAAACCAGGTAATAATCAAACAAGGGCTCCTGTCCTGTTTATTGGAACAAGACAGACAGACCTAACAGGTAAATTTAAACTAATAAATAGAAACTTGATTGAGATGCAAGAGGGACTTTCATTTAACATTTAATTACATTTGAAGCTGGCTTTGTATCCATGGAATTCACAACCGCATCCAGGCTCTCCTACTACACCTTTGCCCTCCCAGCAGCTTTGTATAAAAGATCCAGCTGTTAGTACGCTCCCCAAGGTCACTGAGCTCCATGGCCAAGCAGGATTTGAACCTTGGTCTGAGCAGGACCACACAACAGCATCCCCCCCACACGGGCTGCTTGGAGACTGATCCTTTCTCTGCAATACACCTACCCTTTTTCTACCTCGCATTCACCACCAAAAGCCCATTTTCTCTGGCCTGGGCCTCACAACAACAGCCATTTAACCGGGGCTGGTTGGACCTCACTGCTTATCCATTTTCTCCCTTGACCCCTGTGAAGGAAACCGGCCTGTATTTGATTCGAGGAGCTCGAGCGACTTTTTTCTCCGAACAAAAGCTTACTCTGCAGCTCTGCCGTCCCCAAGACGGCGCTTTCCAGCTGCATTGGGCGAGAGGCTCTGTTACCCCCCTCCAAGATGGCCCCAGGCTGAGGCAACAGGCCTTCCGAGCAAGACGGGGCTCATGGGCTTTGCCGCTTGGAGAGTGGGGTGCCTTCCCCGCTCGGCGGTCGAGGGGCACAGGGTGCCCGTCTCCGCCTTTCATGGCCCTGGCAAGGCAGGGGATGCCCCGCGGGGTCCCTGCCCTCCGTGTGGGAGAGGCTGCTGAGGGTTCCCGGGCCTTTCACACCAAAGGGCCAGGTGTGGCTTCGCTCGTCAGGGCTGACCAGAGGCACCTGGGCCCTCAGGGAGCCTCCTCCTGGACCCACCTGCAGTCCCAGTTCCTCACCAGTTCTCTCAGGTCCTGGTGGGGCAAAAGCAAGCCAAGGGTTCATCTTTCCCGGTGAGCATTCTGTACCTTTCATTTCTCCTGCTGAGGACGGAGGAATCCAGGTGGTCCCGAGAAGAAAACATTTTAGGGCTTTCCAGTCCGTGTCTTCCTTGAGGGAACCGGTGCCCCCCTCCACTTCCCTGCCTATCCTGGGCTGGAAAATGCAGTGCCAGAGGCAGCCTCCAGAGCTATTTTTCGTGGCCTCTGGCTTTCCCTCACTGAAATATATATATTGGGGGGAGGGAGAGAGAAAGATTCTGCTGCAAAAGCATCCTTTTCCTACTCCTGAAGCCTTCCATGGTGGACATTTTGCAACAGCATGGGATGCAGGCTCCCCCCCCCCCAAAAAATGACACAAAAGTGGTCTTTTGGTGGCATTCCGTTTTGATTTCTCATCCTTGTTCTTTTTGGGGGGTCTGGTGGAGTCTGCAGGAGGTTGTTGCTGTGGGAGATTAGTCCCTAGTCTCTCTGGATTTGTCCTCTCTGAGGAACTTCAGCGCATTGTTCTGGAACTGACCAAGAAGATCAGAACAAAAACATTGGAAGAGCTTTGCCCGTAGGAGCCGAGACCACCTGTCCCAAAAGCCGTCATGAATAATATACAGGGCTGGTGAGTCTCAGAAGCGACTGAGAAGCCCAGGAGACTCACCTGAACTTTTGTTTGCTCTCTCTCTCTCTCGCTCTCTCTCAACCTCAGAGAAATTATGTAATTTCACTCTAAGATTTAGCCTTCAAGCCTTGTTGCAATGAATTGGGCCTTGCCCAACTGGGCAACACACACTCCCTGAAATGTCAAATGACAAGCCCCAGAGCCAAACCCCTTTGGTAAGAACCCTGTTGGGAAAACCTGCATCATCCTCTTCTTTCAGACAGGTGAATGCTGGAACTGGGGAAAAAAGAGGAAGATCTGGCACAGCTGCCTGGGGCTCTTTAGAAGCTTCAGTTGAGGAAAATTTATTTTAATCAAGACGGGGAAGGCCAGGGGGGGGCTCTCATTTCCCACAGCTGGTCTTAATGGTCAAAAGCCCTGGTAACATGCCTTGGTGATAAAATAATAAATACTGGATTAGCTAAACTGGACTTAGAAGTCTGAGAGATGTTGAAGAGGAAAATGAGGCTTCCTTAGAGTTTGTTTTGCAATATATCTGGCTCTCCCCACCCAGCCACCGGAAGGCCCAAGGTTCTGCTTCCACCTGCTTGCTGTCTTGCAGCTCATGTTGCTGACCTGACGGCTCTGCCTGGGTCTGTTCCCCAATCCAGGGTGCCGGGATGGCTGGGCCAGCACCTGTGGAAGAAGGCCGGCCGTTGCCTCAGGTCCTCCTGACCCCTTCGCCTGAACTGCTGGGAAAGGTCCTGAGTGAGCAGTTTGGACCTCTACCTTTCATGGCTCCCATCACCCGGATGAAGAAGAAGCCTTCCGGCCATTACTTCCCCACGGAGAACCGGGAGCAAGTGCTGGGTCGGAGACGTGCCGCCAACGCTAAAGAGAGAGAGCGGGTGAGTGAGCCAGTGGGCAAAACCCCTTCAGGATGCAGCATCTACCACGCACCGTGACTTCCGAGGAAGCCCTAGTGAACACATCCCAGGGGTATGCACAAAGAGCGGGTGATGTGAACGTTTCTGGCTGCCTGGTTGCAGCATGGCGGGGTTGGACTCGACCAGGGGTTCCCCACCTTGGGTCACCCAGGTGTTCTTGGACTGCCACCCCCAGAAGCCTTCACCACCAGCTGTACTAGCCAAGATTTCTGGGAGTTGCAGCCAAAGAGGAACATCTGGGGACCCAAGGTAGGGAAGCACCAGAGCTGGATGGTGCTGGACATCCCTTTCAAGCCTATCATTCTATGAAACAACTTCAAAGTCATTTTAGTGACTCAACAAACAAAGAAATAGCTGTGTGTTTGTGTGTATAGATAAATTTACTTTATCTTGATAAATTGTTAGGATTGTGCTACTGTCGGTGAGATGGTTTGGCTCTGGGTGCAGACTCGTACCCTACTGGGAGATATAAAAACAGCTTCTCATGGAAGCTGAAAGCAGTCAGAAAGTCCTGCTGCTTGTGATTAGCATGATGAAATGCAAAAGAGAAACGGCTCTGGGTACCTTTAAGAGCTGCCTGGGGAAGGGAAATTCAGCAGATGTAGCTTGCATTAAAAGCAGCACCTGCTGAAATGTCCTCTTTTTAAGCAGATAGTAAAGATAGAGGAATCCTGTCCTCTTTTGCTTCTGATTACCTTCCTCTCCACTAAATTGCCCTTCCCTCTCTGGCAAGTGTTTGTATTCGTTGCCTCCCCAATTTGTTTGATGCAGAAAACAATGGGCAAAGGAAGATGGAGGGAAGGGGGGGACCCTCATAATGCAGGAAACTGTAGCCAGTGAGACGCACACAAAAAAGGACTTTGCTTAAAGTAAAAAGATAAAATAAAATACTTCCTGATCTCCAGGCCTGCTTAGACAATAGATAACAACCCCTAATCTAAAGCCAGCTACTGCTGTGTTGACATGCCCAAGGGATGAATCAGTTTTAAATGAGTTGAGGGCCTGTCTTGGAAAATGCTGAGACTGGCTGGTGAAAAAACTATGAAATAAAGTTATTTATTGTCGCATTGGAAGTTGTGATTAACACTCATTAGCAGTTTTCCAGTACGTATCCCTCTGAGTAACAAATGCTGCCTTTTAATGCTAAATTGTACACAAGAGGAAAGTAGATATTTACCAGGGGCACTTGGTGGTGCACCAGTTTTGCCAGTAAAAACCCAGTTTCCCTGCCATATCCCACTGGCCTCCTGTATGCTTGACAAATCCTGATAAATGGGAAGATCATGTTTTTAAATGCCATTAAAATCTCACAAGCCGTTGAGTGCTGCCATTGTGCTCTCTCAAGTCAAGTGTTAGCACTCGGTGTGGAAAGTGTAGCTCGTTCAATCGCCCGCCCACCGGCCATGGCAGGGTGGCTGCCGGCTGGAATTCTCTGGAGTCATACCAAGGTTTCCTTTTGCCACTTTCTCTGGGAAAATGACTCAGATGCAGCAATAAAACAGCTCAGGTGCACATCAAGTGAGTTCTTATCAGAGAATGAGCTTGACAGCCTGTTGACTTTCGATAGCCTGTGTAAACTTTGCAGGGGTTAAATGTTAGCCACCTATTTGGTTTGATGCCAGCAGGTACGTCAGGCTTCTGCAGGAGACAAATAACAGCTTCTCCTCTAAGATGGAGGAAGTTTGCAAAAACTGAAATAGCTGTTTGTGAGTGATAGACAAATTCCTTCCACTTCTCTCTGGCAGGTCTTTTTTATTCATTGCCTTGACCTTCTCATTAAAAAGAGCAACCTTAGCAAAGGATGAAGCACATTTCATGACATCAAGCAGGATGGAAGCCAAGTTTGACCCCCGGGCAAGCCTTTGACTTCTGTTAGAACTGAAGATTAGGCTAAGTGGGTTAACTGGCACGCTTGTGCATTTTGCAAACTGAGATTTGATCTTCATAAAGGCAGTGTCCCTCCTTCTGTGGATTTTGTTTTATCCTTCTGGGTGAGGATGAGTTTCTATTTTTTTGGAATATGCTCTATGGACATTTAAGTCAGAACATCAAATCTCCCGTGATTACAGAGATTCCACTGAAGGAGTTGAGGTGGAATTCTGTTACTAAACATTCAGCTAGTTGGCAGGACCAGCAGCGTGAGGATTTTCCCAGGAAGCAAGCAGGAAAGGTGCTTTTGTACTGAAGCCCTTGGGAAAAGACACAAGCCCCCCTGACTTTAATGATCTGCTTTTCAAATTTCTGAACAGATAAAGAACTTGAACAGTGGTTTTTCCAAGCTGAAATCTATTGTGCCGCTGATCCCAAAGGACCGGAAGCCTAGTAAGGTTGATATGCTGAAAGCAGCCACGGAATACATTCGCTTGCTGCGCTTGATTTTGGAAGAGAACGGAGGAGATGAGGTAGGGACGTGTTTGGCTTGGTAACCCAACTTCTCGAAAGCTAGGGGCAGGGGTCTGGAGGAAGTGGGTAACAGGGCAATATTTAATGATGAGGATAGATTTAAAGATGGTGTAATGATGACAGGCTATAGATGCTCCAAAAATACTGAGCAAATGAAGCTCACAAAGAGTGAGCAAATGAATCTGCTCAGCATAAGACACTAGCAAGGCAGCACCCTTCATCAGGCCCATCACAATGCAATGGATGCTTCTGTGTGGCAGAAGGAGCATCTCCAATACCTGGTGAAATCATCTTTCAGAAGAACCTCCCTGTTTCTCCACCCTGGAGATCCCGTGAAGTTGGGAAATGCAGTTTGCAAACCACTGCTTTAGAATGTTTCTCTATGTGTAGGATGAAGGGGAAAAGAGGTATCAATTATTTTGCAAGCTCAAATGGCTGCAAATTTTGTGTGCATGTGTGCGCCCATGTGCGTCCTTTGGCATCCTTGCGTCTGCTTGTCTTCTCTGCTTACACAAGATGGAAGACTTGACCAGCCAGGCCTGTCCTGAGTCTGCCCCCATGCCAGGACCTCCACAGAAGCCCTTGTCTGGAAACCTGTCTGAGGAATCTGGTTGTTACCTCAAGGCTGAAGATGGTGTGGAGTTGGTCTGGGCCCATCAGGTGGTGGAAGCTCCAGCACGTTCGTGGGGTGAAACGATCCTGCCTGCCTACATGGGGATTGTAGAGCTTCACAAAAATGGTTAAATGGTAAGGCTTTCTCCCTTATTTGCAACCCATGAAATGCTTTTCATTTTTATCCCATGGCTGTTCCACCAAGAGGGTGCTTTCCTGTCAAGTGGGACAATATCAACGGAATATAAGAGCAAAGCCTAGTACTTTAGTTTGTTCTTTCTTTTTTAAGAATTGAAAATTCCAGCTTTTGCTCTTAGAGAGAGCTTAGCACACTTCGCAAAGCACTTGCTTGCCCAGAAGTGATGCATGAGAACCTCATATTGTTTCTAGCGAGTTTGGTTGACTTGACCTACAGAGAGGGAGTGGACCACCAGTCTCTTAAATCCCCCCCTTTTTTGCTCCCTCTTTTCCACACCTAGCAGGCTATGGGAGAAGATATGGTTTGTCCCCGCATGGGGCTTTCAAAACCAGGCACAAAGGTAGCTCAGATGAGGCCAAGAGCTTGTGTTAAAGGATCAGGCATAAGCCTTAAAGGCTCAAGTAACTTTGGTGGCTCACCAGCTTCTCCCAGATGTAAACACAGCAGCTTGTCACCATACCTTGATGGAGATAATTTGGCCAAAGCTATCCAGTTGGACTTTTCCAGCATGTTACATCTGGGGCTGCCTTTTACAAATTACAGGACTGACAAGCATATAAAACCAGAGTGTTTCAGTCTAGCTCCTGGTCTGTTCACAACACCACTTTAAATTGCTGGGCTTTGTGAACCTTATTAGCCCTCTTACAAGATGGAATGATGTCTCTTTTCCAGACAGTGTCACAAGGAGTTAGCTACGTCAAAAGGCATTCTGGATGTTATTCTTCCTCTCCCTCTGTTCATACGCGGTAGCTACGTCAAAAGGCATTCTGGCTGTTATTCTTCCTCTCCCTCTGTTCATACAGTATTAAGAAAAAGGAGAGGAGAAGCAGCAGAGAAGGCAGAGAAGAAAGCAACTACCTCTGGGACCTCCATCAAGAACCATAAATAAGGCAGAGCAAAAGGCCAATGGAAGCCTTAAAGTTTGCTTCTTTCTTATATGCATCTACCCGAAGCTTAACACCAAGAAGTGAGGAGGCATGGGGTGGCGTGAGTGGGGGAGGTCCAAGGAGAAAACCTTCTTGATGGTGGCATCTGGCTCTGGAATAACCTCCCTGGAGAGTCTTGCTACATGCCTTCCTTAGGGTCTATTTCCAAGGCACGGAAGGTCATTTTCTTTGCTTTAGGAGTCCTGAAAACATCCTAACAGTCTAGCTGCATTCCTTGATTGTAACAACATTGAAAAATTATGCCTAATTTATTTTATCTCTAGCAAAAGAAAAAAAAATATTATGCCTTTTCCCCCCTTGTTTTCAGTTATTGTACATTTAATACTGTGTCTTGTTTTGGCTTTTAACTCTAAGCCAGCTACAGGCTTGGTTGATGGATGGCCAACTGCATTTAATTATAGTAATATCTGTGATCAAATTGTTTTGCAGAAGCCCTGCTTTGAATGGAAGCAGGATCTTCAACGTTGAGCACTACATGTCTGATGGGACGCTTTGTTTCTTTATACCTTTCACTTTTATTTGAAAGTTAGTAAAGTTACCTTGTTAAGCATTCATGGTTTGCATGTTTGCAGTCTAGTATCAGAAGCAAAATTCAATGCAGAAAGGAAAGTGCTTCCTGAAGCCCCGTGTAGGCTTGCATTTGTAGTGCATATGAAATTTTAGATTTGGAAGGCACCACAAGAGCATCTTGTCCAACCTTCTGATGTAGGAAACCCACCACACCGCCATTCATTACAGAGGCCCACCCAACCTTTTCCAAAATCCTCAACAGAGGAGACTCCGACTCCTCCTAGAGCAGACTCCAGCTGTGATGGAGCAAGGCAGGCTGCCTTCGGGAAGGACCTCAGACAAACCGGGGGCAAGAGCAGAAAGCCCACCCACTTATTTCCAATCAACAAACCTGAGATATCCCTGAGACATAGGAATTTTTAGTCCTCCTTATCAGAATGTGTGGAAAGGCTTCCACAGATGTGTCCAAACGAGCAGTTTGGCCCAGTTCCAGAAATGAACCAGAAGTCAAGAGAATTGTTTCAGGGGAAGGAGTCTGGCAGTGCCCATCAGCCTGGCTGTGGGCTTCTCAACCAGTTGCTGTTCGCAGACGTTTTGCTTGGAAATAAACACCCCTTGAGCTGCTAGATCTCAGCCTTTGAGGTCCATTTTCCAGGTCTCAAGAATTGGACCTGAACTGTCACAGGAGACGGGGATGCTGCTCATGGATTTGAAGCTTGGTTTCCATGGTGCCGTGCTCAGGAGCACTCCGTTCTTTCCCATTATCTGGCATGCTGTAGAGCAGCCTCTGCTGGAATTCTACACTGTTGGTCATCTAACAATAATGACCTCCCACCGAGTCAATTGTGACTTACCATAGTGTAAGTGTGTTCTAGGGGTACTGTACTCAGAAGGGGTTTACCACTCCCTCCTTTTCGTGGGGCAGGGAATTCTGGCACTGTGCAGCGTGCCTTTTGCCATTATTTTCTTAGTATTCTGCTGTGTTACCATGTAAACAACACAGTGGCTTGTGGACCCTTTAAGCTGGCTAGAGTTTCAGGGGCTGAGCACACTTGTTTGAGATGCAGGATGCAGAATATTCAATCCATAGAGGTAGTTTAGTTACAGGGCTGGGCAGAGAGTGTCGCTGACTGGAGAAGATGATGAATACGGCCCTTGTGTGATGGACATGGGCCAGAAGCCTTCCAAAGGCTAGTCAGTGCACCAGAAGGGTCGGGTCAGCGGCACCCCAAGTCCGTGAAGCAATGGTTGGTGCTTGCTAGAGAGTAACTGTTTTGGCTAAGAGCAATAGCCATGCTATGCACAGTAAGAGAGCAATGACAAAATTTTGATGAGACAAAAAAAGGGCCCCTGTCTTTGTCCAAGCTGAGGGGAGCATGAGCAAAACATCTGGGTACGTCCTTATGTGTTTGCTTCATTTTCCAGCCTGTCTTTCCGGTATGGCCACTGTCCAGTCAGAGATGAACTGGTCCTTTTTCCCACCTGTTTCTGAAGGTTACTGTTCCTAATGCCCGTTTTTAGTGGACAGGAGCTTTCCTTTGCACTGCACCTCGGCTGTCTTGGTGTAAAATATTCCCGGACCCTGATGGCAAACGTCCAGGCCTGAATCAGGATGGACTCACTCACTGGTGCCCCTCAAGCCTCCCTTGGCCACAGGCGTGGGCACATGCCCTCTTTTAGGGAGGACAGTCCTCCACCTGGGCAGCGGCCTGAAGGAAGTCCTCCTTTAGAAGGCCCCCTTCCTGAGAAGGGCCCGAACCTGATCTGCAAGGGGCCCGATCCGGGGCCCTAGGGCTGCCCATCCTCCCCCGGGGACCCACCTGAGCCGGTTGGAGGCAGGAGGCGACCCGTTCGCACCGCCTTCCCGGGGGCGAGGCGCTGTGGCTCTCGGTGGCATCGTTCACCTCCGTGCCTCAGGGTTGCCCCTGCCTGGCCCGGGCAAGGGGCGCGGGTGCTCAGAAGAGCGCAGTTCCTTCGGCAGCCTCGCCTGGGGGGTGGGACCGGAGG